GCAGCTCTCCGTGGCGGAGATCACCATGTCCGTGTTTGAACCTGCCTCGATGATGGCCACTCAGTTCTCCAACGCTAATATGTTCAATCTTTTGGTTCACTGTTTTATGGCTAAAATACAGTGCCACAAAGGTTTCAGTTTTGATTCCAGTCCTGTTGGACACGTGAGGTCAAGTGTGATCCTCGTCATGGCAAGTACATGGCTTGCTGCATGATGTGTCTCGGCTTCTGTTTTGTTTCTTTTCCTTTCATTGTGAATGTGTGCAAGTATGCGGACGAAGTGCTTTGGTGTGCATGTGCACCACTTCGGCACCATTCGCGGAAGCCTCCTGTAAGCTTGTTTCATGTTTGAGGTTTCTATTTTGTAGGTGTTTGTGTGTGTATGTGTTTGTTTGTTTGTTTGTTTGTTTGTTTGTTTGTGTGTTTGTGTGTTTGTTTGTTTGTCTGTTAGTTAGTTTGTTTGTTTGTTTGTTTGTTTGTTTTGTCTGTCTGTTTGTTTGTTTGTTTGTTTGTTTTGTGTGTGTGTGTGTGTGTTGTGTGTGTGTGTGTGGGTGCGTGCGCGCGTGCGTGCGCGTGCGTGTGCGTGTGCGTGTGCGTGTGCGTGTGCGTGTGCGTGTGCGTGTGCGTGTGCGTGTGCGTGTGCGTGTGCGTGTGCGTGTGCGTGTGCGTGTGCGTGTGCGTGTGCGTGTGCGTGTGCGTGTGCGTGTGTGCGTGTGCGTGTGTGCGTGTGTGTGCGTGTGCGTGTGCGTGTGCGTGTGCGTGTGCGTGTGCGTGTGCGTGTGCGTGTGCGTGTGCGTGTGCGTGTGCGTGTGCGTGTGCGTGTGCGTGTGCGTGTGCGTGTGCGTGTGCGTGTGCGTGTGCGTGTGTGTGTGTGTGTGTGTGTGTGTGTGTGTGTGTGTGTGTGTGTGTGTGTGTGTGTGTGTGTGTGTGTGTGTGTGTGTGTGTGTGTGTGTGTGTGTGTGTGTGTGTGTGGTGTGTGTGTGTGTGTGTGTGTGTGTGTGTGTGTGTGTGTGTGTGTGTGTGTGTGTGTGTGTGTGTGTGTGTGTGTGTGTGTGCGGGTGTGTGTGTGTGTGTGTGTGTGTGTGTTTGTGTTTGGCTGCTTGTGTCAGCGAGCGGCTTTATGTGAATGTTCACTGTTTGACATGATGGTTGGAAGTTGCTTTCTTGTAATCACATGTATTGCTGTGGTGTAGACTCTTGACAATTGGGCGCTTTGACGTGCCTTGTGGATGAGGTATTTCAGGCATTCGCATCCAGTGAGGTGCGGTGTCATTCAGCTCAAATCAAGAAAAACGCTCAGGTACCGAGGGGATGTTGTCCCGAAGGATGTGAATGCGGCAGTTGCCACCATCAAGACCAAGCGCACCATCCAGTTTGTGGACTGGTGCCCGACTGGCTTCAAGTGCGGCATCAACTACCAGCCTCCTACAGTCGTGCCTGGTGGTGATTTGGCGAAGGTCATGCGCGCGTGCTGTATGATCTCCAACAGCACGGCCATTGCCGAAGTCTTCTCCCGTATTGACCACAAGTTCGATCTGATGTACAGCAAGATCCTTGCCGCAAATTTGGAGGAATCAGCTTTCTGCATACAGCTGAATCAATCGAACATGCAGGCATCATCAACTTGATACTTCCGTCCCAAACACAAACATGAAACCTCACAGACCCCCCCCCCCCCCGACGAGCACTTTCCTTTGTCAGGGAGCCTCTTTCAGGTTCCATGCTTGTTTTTGGGCGGGTAGTGCGCATGGCGATCAGAGGGAGAGGGCGTGCGCGCGTGGGCGCGCGCATGTGTGTGTGGGTGTTTGTGTGATGAAGCCTGCCATAGGGTCCATGCTGATGGTATGTGTTGTTCCCAAACTCCTAATCAATGCAGGGGGACGGGGACCCACATCCACCGAGCGGGGAAGCCATCTGAAGATTTCTCATCTTCCATTTGTTTAAGAATATTTTTCCCCTGTTGGTTTTAAAAGGACTTGATCACTACTGGACTTGTTTTTTCTCCAGGGGGCTTAAGCAAATGGAAGTCATGGTTTCTATGGGCGAGCAAATGGTTTGGGGTGGGGCTATTTGTGTTCTGCGGCGGTTTGAGATGACTCAGAGGCGTGCCTTCGTCCACCACTACGTGGGAGAGGGCATGGAGGAGGGCGAGTTCTCCGAGGCGCGCGAGGATTTGGCGGCATTGGAGAAGGACTACGAGGAGGTGGGCATCGAGACAGCCGAAGGGGAGGGCGAAGAGGAAGGCGCGGCTTGGTTTTGGGCAGCTTTCTCGGCTTGGGTAGTTGTTGGACTGCCAGGTCCCCCAGCAGGCCCTTTTGCCCCTTTTCGGGGGAGGGTTCCCCTGCTGACATAGACCAGAGAAAAAAGAACCGGTACCCTTATTCTAACCTGTCTACTGGAGAACCTAAACTAGTTGTTGACTGTTCCAAAAGATATTGGGGTAAACCGCCAATTCTACCTTTTCATGTCTCAAGAGCCCTGTTTGGCGAGCTGCTCCGTGTTCTCAAGGGGTGAAACCTCGAAACCCACCTCTCATGTTTTTTTTTCCTTTTTGTTAAATCAAAGTTTGGAGAGCCCTCCTTGGGGGTGTCCTTTGGTTTTCCGGCAAGACCATCCCAACAAAACGGGGCCGGCCCCCTAGTTGGAGAACCCCCGATGTGCTTTTCTTGCTTCGTGTGAGTCGAAACAGAAAGCACTCCTTTCAGCCATCGACGCCAGGCTATGGCGATGAGTTCTAGGCTTTCGCTGAGCGACTGGCCGTTTTGGTATCTTGCCGTTGCGCACGGAATAGCGTTTGGCAGGATGAAGTCCACTGTTGCCGGTCAATGCTGTCATGAAGAGATGTGGCTGTGGGTCAAAACCTCTGGTACCCCTGGTGAACATCAAAATAGGTGGCAAATGGATGTTCATCCACCCCAAAATGGAGCCATGGGTTTCCCACAGCCATGTTCAATTCAAAGAAACTTGGCAAACAGCAGGCGTCAAGATTGAAAGCTTTTTTTTGGGCACCAGCGACAGTGGCGCAGCGGATCTATGCTGCTTGTTTTCGGGGGTCAAGAACAGTTGAACACTGATGCAAGTACGGCGTACATGTGATGGGGGAAGCGAGGAGAAAGGGCAGAGAGAGTCGCGCAATTTTCTTTCAGCTTGGTGCACACCAAGCTTGCTGGCTTGCTGCTTTTGTGGTTGCTCAGAATGCATGTCAACAACCTTTCGTATGAGCCCCTCTGAAATGGGGCGTTTCACCAAAATTAGGGACTACCTTCGGGTTTTGAAAGGGACACCAACTGCAGCTCCCAAAGTGTTCCAGGTCATCCAACACTTGGAAGTGCCCACATCATGGTAGAAAAGCTTTATCCTCCTCGAAGCTGAGGGGCGTTGCGTGTACGTGGTGGAGAGGTGATTGCAAGTGGTTAGTGGCTTACCACTTGCAAGTTGATTAGTTACCACGTCGCGACTTACCAGGTCAAGTTGCAGTGCGCGCAAGCTTACATCCATACCCCTGGTGGACTGATGCCTGATGTGTGATACGGTGTGCGTGTCGGAGGGTGTTTCAAATAACCATAGGCCATGCCCATTGCAATCATAATTTTTCATGTCAGAGAAGTGCGCAAGGTTGTCTGGGCGACCTGTCTTGGGGTCCAAGTCGCTTTCATGAACCTGCTTCCAGAGGCTATCTTAAGCGCTTGTGGGTTCACTTTGAACATAGCGCTTGCATAGCCAGCATGAGTGAGAGTCAAGATCGTTCGGACACAGCTGGGTGCCCTAGTGCATTACCGTTTGGTTTTACCGACCTGCTTGTGAAGGCTGATCCAGGACCCTCCTACTCTTAGGGTGCAGCTTGCGAATTTTATGGGTTGGGGGGCTGCGGGATGAGACGTTCTGATGTCCAAAGTCACCCTTACGGATACTGCATGGAGCTAGGACAGCCAAAATGTCTCGAGTTCTGCATGAAAGCAATGTAGGCGAACTTTCTATGGGCAGGCAGGCATGTTGAGGATGCAGTATGCAGTGCTAACTGACAATGAGTTCAGACTGCGGGACAGTCAAAGTCATCCCGACAAGCACACCGTGTCGCTTTCTGAGTTCCTAGACTATTAGTCACTTCTTGAGGCGCAACATTTTGTGGGAAACAACAAGTTCGGACTTGCGCCCAGGCATGCATTTCTCTTGTACGGTTGGCCCACCTACAAGTTAGCTCATGAACATGTAATTGAATCCAACATAATCCAAACACAACAAGGAGTCACAAAGTCTAAGCCCTGCAGAGCTGTAAGCTAAAAATCCAGAAGCCACAAGCAGCCCTCTCAGTCCGGGTGTATCAAACAACCATTGCAGGCCAACCAGCAAACCCGCGTTCAGTAGAACCGTTTGTAACAAACTGTACAAACCATGCTGATTTGCCCAGCTCCTCCAGTAGAGAGGTTAGAATAAGGGTACCCTTTTTTTGGTATTCTATTTGAGTAGAGGAACCCTCCCCCAAAAAGGAGGTGAGAAAGGGCACTACTGGGGGACCTAGTTGCGTAAATAGACATACCCTCCCCAAACCAAACATGGAACCTGAACAGGCACCGGTCCCCTGAAGCGGAAAATGAGGTTCCACGTTGGAGGGATGAAATGGGAGCGTCATAATATAAGCAAAACATGTTGCCCGCTGGGGACCCCCCAGAACCCAAAAACAGTGGCGTCCCTTTGGCTTCCGCACAAAAACAAGGCACACCCGGATGCATGCGTACTACTATGCACATATATTATGAGTGGTGTGGTGAGCCTTGTAGTGGGGTGACGTATAGGGCATGCAGTCCAGGTTAACCTTGGAACACAAATTCAGCCCGTGCCGATCCTAATGTTGTTGGCAATGATAAGATGGTTTCAAGCACATTTGGGTGTGTCCTTTCTTAGGGGATCCCCAAAAATCCGGGTTTCCGTTCAAAAGCCTTACAAAGGGGTACCACCGACACACCCGTTTGTCAAGTTAGAGCGCTTGCCAATGGCCGCTCTGGCTCCAGGATTTGTGCTTGAGGCAGCCACATCACGCGGTGAGTTTCCGGCACTTTCTCATTCTCAGCTTTCAGACAGCCATGCGCGAGGCGATCTGCATCCACATCGGCCAGGAGCCTTGCAGAGTGGAGGGCAAGCCTTTGGCAATCATGTGTTTGTTTTTTCTCGCTGCTTTCTTTAACGTTAGCACGCGTGTGAGTATTTTCTGGTTCGGGTACATAATGAGACTTGCAATCCATGCCCCAGGCCGGCGTTCAAATTGGCAACGCCTGCTGGGAGCTGTTCTGCTTGGAGCATGGCATCCAACCTGATGGTCAGATGCCGTCCGACAAGACCATTGGCGGCGGCGATGACGTATCGCGCTTGATATGGCCAGTGCTTAGTTTGGCTTTTCCTGCCAAATGCCAACCACGCATTGGATCATGTGTCGATTTTGGTGTCAAGATGGTAAAGCAGCGCTTGGACGAGGGTGCAATCAACAAAGAGGCGATAGAACATGCAAGATACCTTCCCTCGCAAGATCCCACGACGCCTTAAGACTTCCACAGGGCTTCTTGGAGTGATAGTGTGAGGGAGTGAAAGATCACGAGGCAAACGCGGCACCCAGAAACCTTTTGGCTGTCGATTTGGACGTTCCGAGATGCTGACGGACCAAATCTTGCACCTGGAAACCATGGTTGGTCCCCAGTAATTAGTGCCCTTTTGCCCTGTTTTGGGGGAGGGTTCCCCTACTAAAGTAGACTACAGAAAGAAATTTGTACCCTTATTCCAAACTCTCTACTGGAGAACCTAGATACGGCTTCTTGGTAGTTAGAGGGGAATCATCCGAAACCAGGGTCCCTCAGTTGGCGCGACATGGATTTGGGGTCGGCCTCCCTGGGCCCTTTGCTGCGAGGGTCCAAGGTGGGCCGCAAAGGCGGGAGCAGGACGCCGGAGGGATCCCTCCGGAAGTTGGATAAAGTTTCAGAGGTGCATTTTGCTTGGATGTTAGGACTTTAACTTTTTGCCCGCCAATGGGATTTCCATTGAACCACGAAAAGTTAAACTTTTAGCAGGGGAGCAGATTACTGTCGGAGTTCAAATCGGTTGGCTATGAACTTTGGTGGGACCCTCCCCAGAAAAGTGGTTGGTGGACTCAAATCCCCACCGAAATGATGTCCACCAAAGGGCCCGAAAATTGCAACTCACAGCCAACGGTTGTTTTGTACAAAGCTTTCTACAGAACAAATTCGCTTCGTGCGAGAAATAGGGGGTAAACACCCCGGAACCCTCGCGTCGGAGTTCAGAAATCAGTACAGCATGGGATCCCGGATCCTCATGACTTATCAGTGTTATTAATGAACCGAACGTTTTTGGGAAGGGGTCCTCCTTGAAAGTCAACCAACCAACAAAGGATGCCATTTTTTGTGGTTTACTTGCAAAGCGGGTTTGACACATACAACACATATTTTTTTCAATTATATGCGCTCAGGCATTCAACACTTTCTTCAGCGAGACTGGAGCGGGCAAGCATGTTCCCCGTTGTGTGATGGTTGACCTGGAGCCGACGGTCGTTGATGAAGTGCGCACTGGCACCTACCGTCAGCTCTTCCATCCAGAGCAGCTCATCTCTGGCAAGGAAGACGCGGCCAACAACTTTGCATCGAGGTCAAATTTAGTCGCTTCCTAGCGGTATTTGTTGCGTGACGCCAGTATCCCACCAAACGTGTGGCATGTGTTGCTGAGAAACTGTTTTCAGTTGAGAGGCACGGGGGCACTACACCGTCGGCAAGGAGATCGTTGATTTGGTCTTGGACCGATCCTGATCGGAATTGGAGATTATTTCAGCTGCGTCACCCTGCTTGTCTTGCTTCAGGCAAGTTTTGCCATCCACTTGAAGAAGGTTGGGGGACGTCTTTGTTGACTCAGTTTGGCGTTCCGGAAATAATTTGCAGTTCCTGGGAAGCTGGTATGGCTTGTGTGACAATGCGCTTGCAACTTAGGAATCCGCAAGTTGGCCGATAACTGCACTGGTTTGCAGGGCTTCTGCGTGTACAACGCGGTTGGCGGCGGCACGGGATCCGGCTTGGGCTGCCTGATGTTGGAGCGCTTGTCCGTGGACTATGGGAAGAAGAGCAAGATCTCCTTCACAGTTTGGTCGTGCCCACAGGTGGCAACGGCAGTGGTAGAGCCCTACAACACTGTGCTTTGCGTCCATTCCCTGCTCGAGCACACGGATGTGACCATCATGTACGCTACTTGGCAGCAACTGAGTGGATTCGACGAATCTTCATCATAATATGCATGGATATGCAAAGCTGAGTTCGACATGCCGCGCAGCATTTATTCAATCACTGTGGTTTTGCTTGGAGGTGTGTGCTTGCAAGATGACATGCTGGCGGCATAAGTGCTGCAAGCCAGTAATGTGGTAAGCTTGACGCGATAGTATGGCCAACAATCATCCATGATATACTGAGCTTGGCCATGTTTATTGAACATGTGTTGTTCTTAGACCGGCAGCAATCGCATAGAACTTGCTTGGAGCAGCTTGCATCAACAAGGACAACGAGGCGCTGTACGACATTTGTCGCAGGAATTTGGACGTTGAGCGCCCGACCTACACAAATTTGAACAGGCTGATCGCTCAGATCATCAGCTCATTGACGGCAAGCTTGCGGTTCGATGGGGCTCTGAACGTGGATATCACCGAATTCCAGACAAATCTTGTCCCTTACCCGCGCATCCACTTCATGCTCACCTCCTTTGCTCCGGTGATCTCGGCAGAGAAGGCATACCATGAGCAGCTCTCCGTGGCGGAGATCACCATGTCCGTGTTTGAACCTGCCTCGATGATGGCCACTCAGTTCTCCAACGCTAATATGTTCAATCTTTTGGTTCACTGTTTTATGGCTAAAATACAGTGCCACAAAGGTTTCAGTTTTGATTCCAGTCCTGTTGGACACGTGAGGTCAAGTGTGATCCTCGTCATGGCAAGTACATGGCTTGCTGCATGATGTGTCTCGGCTTCTGTTTTGTTTCTTTTCCTTTCATTGTGAATGTGTGCAAGTATGCGGACGAAGTGCTTTGGTGTGCATGTGCACCACTTCGGCACCATTCGCGGAAGCCTCCTGTAAGCTTGTTTCATGTTTGAGGTTTCTATTTTGTAGGTGTTTGCTTGTGTGTGTGTGTGTGTGTTTGTTTGTTTGTTTGTTTGTTTGTTTGTTTGTTTGTGTGTTTGTTTGTTTGTTTGTTTGTTTGTTTGTTTGTTTGTTTGTTTGTTTGTTTGTTTGTTTGTTTTTGTGTGTGTGTGTTGTGTGTGTGTGTGTGTGTGTTTGTGTTTGTGTTTGTGTTTGGCTGCTTGTGCGAGCGAGCGGCTTTATGTGAATGTTCACTGTTTGACATGATGGTTGGAAGTTGCTTTCTTGTAATCACATGTATTGCTGTGGTGTAGACTCTTGACAATTGGGCGCTTTGACGTGCCTTGTGGATGAGGTATTTCAGGCATTCGCATCCAGTGAGGTGCGGTGTCATTCAGCTCAAATCAAGAAAAACGCTCAGGTACCGAGGGGATGTTGTCCCGAAGGATGTGAATGCGGCAGTTGCCACCATCAAGACCAAGCGCACCATCCAGTTTGTGGACTGGTGCCCGACTGGCTTCAAGGTCGGCATCAACTACCAGCCTCCTACAGTCGTGCCTGGTGGTGATTTGGCGAAGGTCATGCGCGCGTGCTGTATGATCTCCAACAGCACGGCCATTGCCGAAGTCTTCTCCCGTATTGACCACAAGTTCGATCTGATGTACAGCAAGATCCTTGCCGCAAATTTGGAGGAATCAGCTTTCTGCATACAGCTGAATCAATCGAACATGCAGGCATCATCAACTTGATACTTCCGTCCCAAACACAAAACATGAAACCTCACAGACCAACGAGCACTTTCCTTTGTCAGGGAGCCTCTTTCAGCTTCCATGCTTGTTTTTGGGCAGGTAGTGCGCATGGCGATCAGAGGGAGAGGGCGCGCGCGCGTGGGCGCGCATAGGTGTGTGTGTGTGTGTGTGTGTGTGTGATGAAGCTTGCCATAGGGCCCATGCTGATGGTATGTGTTGTTCCTAAACTCCTAATCAATGCAGGGGGACACGGACCCACATCCACTGAGCGGGGAAGCCATCTGAAGAATTCTCATCTTCCATTTGTTTAAGAGTATTTTTTCCCTGTTGGTGTTATATAAAAGGACTCGATCACTACTGGACATTGTTTTTTCAGGGGGCTATGGGCGGGCAAATGGTTTGGGGTGGGGCTATCTATGTTCTGCGGCGGTTTGAGATGACTCAGAGGCGTGCCTTCGTCCACCACTACGTGGGAGAGGGCATGGAGGAGGGCGAGTTCTCCGAGGCGCGGGAGGATTTGGCGGCATTGGAGAAGGACTACGAGGAGGTGGGCATCGAGACAGCCGAAGGGGAGGGCGAAGAGGAAGGCGCGGCTTGGTTTTGGGCAGCTTTCTCGGCTTGGGTAGTTGTTGGGCTGCCAGGTCCCCCAGCAGGCCCTTTTGCCCCTTTTCGGGGGAGGGTTCCCCTACTGACATAGACCAGAGAAAAAAGAAACGGTACCCTTATTCTAACCTGTCTACTGGAGAACCTAAACTAGTTGTTGACTGTTCCAAAAGATATTGGGGTAAACCGCCAATTCTACCTTTTCATGTCTAAAGAGCCCTGTTTGGCGAGCTGCTCCGTGCTCTCAAGGGGTGAAACCTCGAAACCCACCTCTCATTTTTTTTTTTTTTAAATTGTTGGAGAGCCCTCCTTGGGGGTGTCCTTTGGTTTTCCGGCAAGACCATCCCAACAAAAGGGGGCCGGCCCCCTAGTTGGAGAACCCCCGATGTGCTTTTCTTGCTTCGTGTGAGTCGAAACAGAAAGCACTCCTTTCAGCCATCGACGCCAGGCTATGGCGATGAGTTCTAGGCTTTCGCTGAGCGACTGGCCAGTTTTGGTATCTTGCCGTTGCGCACGGAATAGCGTTTGGCAGGATGAAGTCCACTGTTGCCGGTCAATGCTGTCATGAAGAGATGTGGCTGTGGGTCAAAACCCTGGTACCCCTGGTGAACATCAAAATAGGTGGCAAATGGATGTTCATCCACCCCAAAATGGAGCCATGGGTTATGCCCCACAGCCATGTTCAATTCAAAAAAACCTGGCAAACAGCAGGCGTCAAGATTGAAAGCTTTTTTGGGCACCAGCGACAGTGGCGCAAGCGGATCTATGCTGCTTGTTTTCGGGGGTCAAGAACAGTTGAGCACTGATGCAAGTACGGCGTACATGTGATGGGGAAAGCAAGGAGAAAGGGCAGAGAGAGTCGCGCGTGTCTTTTAAGCTTGGTGCACACCAAGCTTGCTGGCTTGCTGGTTTTTGGGCTCAGAATGCATGTCAACAACCTTGGGGTTTCACCAAAATTAGGGACTACCTTCGGGTTTTGAAAGGGACACCAACTGCAGCTCCCAAAGTGTTCAAGGTCATCCAACACTTGGAAGTGCCCACATCATGGTAGAAAAGCTTTATCCTCATTGAAGCTGAGGGGATTTCATCCCTTCAACGTGGAACCTCATTTTCCGCTTCAGGGGACCGGTGCCTGTTCAGGTTCCATGTTTGGTTTTGGGGAGGGTATGTCTATTTACGCAACTAGGTCCCCCAGTAGTGCCCTTTCTCACCTCCTTTTTGGGGGAGGGTTCCTCTACTCAAATAGAATACCAAAAAAAGGGTACCCTTATTCTAACCTCTCTACTGGAGGAGCTGGGCAAATCAGCATGGTTTGTACAGTTTGTTACAAACGGTTCTACTGAACGCGGGTTTGCTGGTTGGCCTGCAATGGTTGTTTGATACACCCGGACTGAGAGGGCTGCTTGTGGCTTCTGGATTTTTAGCTTACAGCTCTGCAGGGCTTAGACTTTGTGACTCCTTGTTGTGTTTGGATTATGTTGGATTCAATTACATGTTCATGAGCTAACTTGTAGGTGGGCCAACCGTACAAGAGAGATGCACTCCTGGGCCAATTTAAAGTGAGCCTTGTAGTGGGGTGACGTATAGGGAATGCAGGCCAGGTTAACCTTGGAACACAAATTCAGCCCTAATGTTGTTGGCAATGATAAGATGGTTTCAAGCACATTTGGGTGTGTCCTTTCTTAGGGGATCCCCAAAAATCCGGGTTTCCGTTCAAAAGCCTTACAAACGGGTACCACAGACACACCCATTTGTCAAGTTAGAGCGCTTGCCAATGGCCGCTCTGGCTCCAGGATTTGTGCTTGAGGCAGCCACATCACGCGGTGAGTTTCCGGCACTTTCTCATTCTCAGCTTTCAGACAGCCATGCGCGAGGCGATCTGCATCCACATCGGCCAGGAGCCTTGCAGAGTGAAGGGCAAGCCTTTGGCAATCATGTGTTTGTTTTTTCTCGCTGCTTTCTTTAACGTTAGCACGCGTGTGAGTATTTTCTGGTTCGGGTACATAATGAGACTTGCAATCCATGCCCCAGGCCGGCGTTCAAATTGGCAACGCCTGCTGGGAGCTGTTCTGCTTGGAGCATGGCATCCAACCTGATGGTCAGATGCCGTCCGACAAGACCATTGGCGGCGGCGATGACGTATCGCGCTTGATATGGCCAGTGCTTAGTTTGGCTTTTCCTGCCAAATGCCAACCACGCATTGGATCATGTGTCGATTTTGGTGTCAAGATGGTAAAGCAGCGCTTGGACGAGGGTGCAATCAACAAAGAGGCGATAGAACATGCAAGATACCTTCCCTCGCAAGATCCCAGGACGCCTTAAGACTTCCACAGAGGGCTTCTTGGAGTGATAGTGTGAGGGAGTGTAAGATCACGAGATAAACGCGGCACCCAGAAACCCTTTTGGCTGTCGATTTGGACGTTCCGAGATGCTGATGGACCAAATCTTGCACCTGGAAACCATGGTTGAAACCATAACTAAGTCCCCAGTAATTAGTGCCCTTTTGCCCTTTTTCTTTTGGGAGAGGGTTTCCCTACTAAAATAGACTACAGAAAGAAATTTGCACCCTTATTCCAACCTCTCTACTGGAGAACCTAGATACGGTTTCTTGGTAGTCAGAGGGGAATCATCCGAAACCAGGGTCCCTCAGTTGGCGCGACATGGATTTGGGGTCGGCCTCCCTGGGCCCTTTGCTGCGAGGGTCCAAGGGGAAGGTGGGCCGCAAAGGCGGGAGCAGGACGCCGGAGGGATTTTTCCGGAAGTTGGATACAGTTTCAGAGGTGCATTTTGCTTGGATGTTAGGACTTCAACTGTTTGCCCGCTAATGGGATTTCCATTCAAATCGATTGGCTATGAACTTTGGTGGGAACCCCCCCAGAAAAGTGGTTGGTGGACTCAAATCCCCACCGAAATGATGTCCACCAAAGGGCCCGAAAATTGCAACTCATAGCCAACGGTTGTTTTGTGCGAGGCTTTCTACAGAACAAATTCGCTTCGTGCGAGAAATAGGGTGTAAACACCCCGGAACCCTCGCGTCGGAGTTCAGAAGTCAGTACAGCATGGGATCCCGGATCCCCATGACTTATCAGTGTTATTAATGAACCGAACGTTACCCAGTTGCCCAGTGGTGCCCTTTTTTCATCTTTTTTTTTGGGAAGGGGTCCTCCTTGAAAGTCAACCAACCAACAAAGGATGCCATTTTTTGTGGTTTACTTGCAAAGCGGGTTTGACACATACAACACATATTTTTGTTCAATTATATGCGCTCAGGCATTCAACACTTTCTTCAGCGAGACTGGAGCGGGCAAGCATGTTCCCCGTTGTGTGATGGTTGACCTGGAGCCGACGGTCGTTGATGAAGTGCGCACTGGCACCTACCGTCAGCTCTTCCATCCAGAGCAGCTCATCTCTGGCAAGGAAGACGCGGCCAACAACTTTGCACCGAGGTCAAATTTAGTCGCTTGCTATCTGTATTTGTTGTGACACGCCAGCACCCCACCAAACGTGTGGCATGTGTTGCTGAAAAACTGTTTTCAGTTGAGAGGCACGGGGGCACTACACCGTCGGCAAGGAGATCGTTGATTTGGTCTTGGACCGATCCTGATCGGAATTGGAGATTATTTCAGCTGCGTCACCCTGCTTGTCTTGCTTCAGGCAAGTTTTGCCATCCACTTCATGAAGGTTGGGGGCTTTGTTGACTCAGTTTGGCGTTCCGGACACAATTTGCAGTTCCTGTGAAGCTGGTATGGCTTGTGTGACAACGCGCTTTCAACTTAGGAATCCGCAAGTTGGCCGATAACTGCACTGGTTTGCAGGGCTTCTGCGTGTACAACGCGGTTGGCGGCGGCACGGGATCCGGCTTGGGCTGCCTGATGTTGGAGCGCTTGTCCGTGGACTATGGCAAGAAGAGCAAGATCTCCTTCACAGTTTGGTCGTGCCCACAGGTGGCAACGGCAGTGGTAGAGCCCTACAACACTGTGCTCTGCGTCCATTCCCTGCTCGAGCACACGGATGTGACCATCATGTACGCTACTTGGCAGCAACTGAGTGGATTCGACGAATCTTCATCATAATATGCATGGATATGCAAAGCAGAGTTCGACATGCCAGCATTTATTCAATCACTGTGGTTTTGCTTGGAGGTGTGTGCTTGCAAGATGACATGCTGGCGGCATAAGTGCTGCAAGCCAGTAATGTGGTAAGCTTGACGCGATAGTATGGCCAACAATCATCCATGATATACTGAGCTTGGCCATGTTTATTGAACATGTGTTGTTCTTAGACCCGCAGCAATCGCATAGAACTTGCTTGGAGCAGCTTGCATCAACAAGGACAACGAGGCGCTGTACGACATTTGTCGCAGGAATTTGGACGTTGAGCGCCCGACCTACACAAATTTGAACAGGCTGATCGCTCAGATCATCAGCTCATTGACGGCAAGCTTGCGGTTCGATGGGGCTCTGAACGTGGATATCACCGAATTCCAGACAAATCTTGTCCCTTACCCGCGCATCCACTTCATGCTCACCTCCTTTGCTCCGGTGATCTCGGCAGAGAAGGCATACCATGAGCAGCTCTCCGTGGCGGAGATCACCATGTCCGTGTTTGAACCTGCCTCGATGATGGCCACTCAGTTCTCCAACGCTAATATGTTCAATCTTTTGGTTCACTGTTTTATGGCTAAAATACAGTGCCACAAAGGTTTCAGTTTTGATTCCAGTCCTGTTTGGACACGTGAGGTCAAGTGTGATCCTCGTCATGGCAAGTACATGGCTTGCTGCATGATGTGTCTCGGCTTCTGTTTTGTTTCTTTTCCTTTCATTGTGAATGTGTGCAAGTATGCGGACGAAGTGCTTTGGTGTGCATGTGCACCACTGCGGCACCATTCGCGGAAGCCTCCTGTAAGCTTGTTTCATGTTTGAGGTTTCTATTTTGTAGGTGTTTGTGTGTGTGTGTGTGTGTTTGTTTGTTTGTTTGTTTGTTTGTTTGTGTGTGTTTGTTTGTTTGTTTGTTTGTTTGTTTGTTGGTTGGTTTGTTTGTTTGTTTGTTTGTTTGTTTGTTTGTTTTGTCTGTCTGTCTGTCTGTCTGTCTGTTTGTTTGTTTGTTTGTTTGTTTGTTTGTTTGTTTGTTTGTTTTGTGTGTGTTGTGTGTTGTGTGTTGTGTGTTGTGTGTTGTGTGTTGTGTGTTGTGTGTTGTGTGTTGTGTGTTGTGTGTGTGTGTGTGTGTGTGTGTGTGTGTGTGTGTGTGTGTGTGTGTGTGTGTGTGTGTGTGTGTGTGTGTGTGTGTGTGTGTGTGTGCGGGTGTGTGTGTGTGTGTGTGTGTGTGTGTTTGTGTTTGGCTGCTTGTGTCAGCGAGCGGCTTTATGTGAATGTTCACTGTTTGACATGATGGTTGGAAGTTGCTTTCTTGTAATCACATGTATTGCTGTGGTGTAGACTCTTGACAATTGGGCGCTTTGACGTGCCTTGTGGATGAGGTATTTCAGGCATTCGCATCCAGTGAGGTGCGGTGTCATTCAGCTCAAATCAAGAAAAACGCTCAGGTACCGAGGGGATGTTGTCCCGAAGGATGTGAATGCGGCAGTTGCCACCATCAAGACCAAGCGCACCATCCAGTTTGTGGACTGGTGCCCGACTGGCTTCAAGTGCGGCATCAACTACCAGCCTCCTACAGTCGTGCCTGGTGGTGATTTGGCGAAGGTCATGCGCGCGTGCTGTATGATCTCCAACAGCACGGCCATTGCCGAAGTCTTCTCCCGTATTGACCACAAGTTCGATCTGATGTATAGCAAGATCCTTGCCGCAAATTTGGAGGAATCAGCTTTCTGCACACAGCTGAATCATTCGAACATGCAGGCATCATCAACTTGATACTTCCGTCCCAAACGCAAACATGAAACCTCACAGACCCCCCCCGACGAGCACTTTCCTTTGTCAGGGAGCCTCTTTCAAGTTTCATGCTTGTTTTTGGGCGGGTAGTGCGCATGGCGATCAGAGGGAGAGGGCGTGCGCGCGTGGGCGCGCGCATGTGTGTGTGGGTGTTTGTGTGATGAAGCCTGCCATAGGGCCCATGCTGATGGTATGTGTTGTTCCCAAACTCCTAATCAATGCAGGGGGACGGGGACCCACATCCACCGAGCGGGGAAGCCATCTGAAGATTTCTCATCTTCCATTTGTTTAAGAATATTTTTCCCCTGTTGGTTTTAAAAGGACTTGATCACTACTGGACTTGTTTTTCTCCAGGGGGCTTAAGCAAATGGAAATCATGGTTTCTATGGGCGAGCAAATGGTTTGGGGTGGGGCTATTTATGTTCTGCGGCGGTTTGAGATGACTCAGAGGCGTGCCTTCGTCCACCACTACGTGGGAGAGGGCATGGAGGAGGGCGAGTTCTCCGAGGCGCGCGAGGATTTGGCGGCATTGGAGAAGGACTACGAGGAGGTGGGCATCGAGACAGCCGAAGGGGAGGGCGAAGAGGAAGGCGCGGCTTGGTTTTGGGCAGCTTTCTCGGCTTGGGTAGTTGTTGGGCTGCCAGGTCCCCCAGCAGGCCCTTTTGCCCCTTTTCGGGGGAGGGTTCCCCTACTGACATAGACCAGAGAAAAAAGAACCGGTACCCTTATTCTAACCTCTCTACTGGAGGACCTAAACTAGTTGTTGACTGTTCCAAAAGATATTGGGGTAAACCGCCAATTCTACCTTTTCATGTCAAGAGCCCTGTTTGGCGAGCTGCTCCGTGTTCTCAAGGGGTGAAACCTCGAAGCCCACCTCTCATGTTTTTTTCCTTTTTGTTAAATCAAAGTTTGGAGAGCCCTCCTTGGGGGTGTCCTTTGGTTTTCCGGCAAGACCATCCCAAAAAAGGGGGCCGGCCCCCTAGTTGGAGAACCCCCGATGTGCTTTTCTTGCTTCGTGTGAGTCGAAACAGAAAGCACTCCTTTCAGCCATCGACGCCAGGCTATGGCGATGAGTTCTAGGCTTTCGCTGAGCGACTGGCCGTTTTGGTATCTTGCCGTTGCGCACGGAATAGCGTTTGGCAGGATGAAGTCCACTGTTGCCGGTCAATGCTGTCATGAAGAGATGTGGCTGTGGGTCAAAACCTCTGGTACCCCTGGTGAACATCAAAATGGGTGGCAAATAGATGTTCATCCACCCCAAAATGGAGCCATGGGTTTCCCACAGCCATGTTCAATTCAAAGAAACTTGGCAAACAGCAGGCGCCAAGATTGAAAGCTTTTTTTTGGGCACCAGCGACAGTGGCGCAGCGGATCTATGCTGCTTGTTTTCGGGGGTCAAGAACAGTTGAACACTGATGCAAGTACGGCGTACATGTGATGGGGGAAGCGAGGAGAAAGGGCAGAGAGAGTCGCGCAATTTTCTTTCAGCTTGGTGCACACCAAGCTTGCTGGCTTGCTGCTTTTGTGGTTGCTCAGAATGCATGTCAACAACCTTTCGTATGAGACCCTCTGAAATGGGGTGTTTCACCAAAATTAGGGACTACCTTCGGGTTTTGAAAGGGACACCAACTGCAGCTCCCAAAGTGTTCCAGGTCATCCAACACTTGGAAGTGCCCACATCATGGTAGAAAAGCTTTATCCTCCTCGAAGCTGAGGGGCGTTGCGTGTACGTGGTGGAGAGGTGATTGCAAGTGGTTAGTGGCTTACCACTTGTAAGTTGATTAGTTACCACGTCGCGACTTACCAGGTCAAGTTGCATTGCGCGCAAGCTTACATCCATACCCCTGGTGGACTGATGCCTGATGTGTGATACGGTGTGCGTGTCGGAGGGTGTTTCAAGGAACCATAGGCCATGCCCATTGCAATCATAATTTTTCATGTCAGAGAAGTGCGCAAGGTTGTCTGGGCGACCTGTCTTGGGGTCCAAGTCGCTTTCATGAACCTGCTTCCATCTTAAGCGCTTGTGGGTTCACTTTGAACATAGCGCTTGCATAGCCAGCATGAGTGAGAGTCAAGATCGTTCGGACACAGCTGGGTGCCCTAGTGCATTACCGTTTGGTTTTACCGACCTGCTTGTGAAGGCTGATCCAGGGATGTGCCACCCTCCTACTCTTAGGGTGCAGCTTGCGAATTTTATGGGTTGGGGGGCTGCGGGATGAGACGTTCTGATGTCCAAAGTCACCCTTACGGATACTGCATAGGGCTAGGACAGCCAAAATGTCTCGAGTTCCGCATGAAAGCAATGTAGGCGAACTTTCAATGGGCAGGCAGGCATGTTGAGGATGCAGTATGCAGTGCTAACTGACAATGAGTTCAGACGGCGGGACAGTCAAAGTCATCCCGACAAGCACACCGTGTCGCTTTCTGAGTTCCTAGACTATTAGTCACTTCTTGAGGCGCAACATTTTGTGGGAAACAACAAGTTCGGACTTGCCACACCACTCATATGTGCATAGTAGTACGCATACATCCGGGTGTGCCTTGTTTTTGTGCGGAAGCCAAAGGGCCGCCACTGTTTTTGGGTTTTGGGGGGTCCCGAGCGGGCAACATGTTTTGCTTATATTATGACGCTCCCATTTCATCCCTTCAACGTGGAACCTCATTTTCCGCTTCAGGGGACCGGTGCCTGTTCAGGTTCCATGTTTGGTTTTGGGGAGGGTATGTCTATTTACGCAACTAGGTCCCCCAGTAGTGCCCTTTCTCACCTCCTTTTTGGGGGAGGGTTCCTCTACTCAAATAGAATACAGAAAAAAGGGTACCCTTATTCTAACCTCTCTACTGGAGGAGCTGGGCAAATCAGCATGGTTTGTACAGTTTGTTACAAACGGTTCTACTGAACGCGGGTTTGCTGGTTGGCCTGCAATGGTTGTTTGATACACCCGGACTGAGAGGGCTGCTTGTGGCTTCTGGATTTTTAGCTTACAGCTCTGCAGGGCTTAGACTTTGTGACTCCTTGCTGTGTTTGGATTATGTTGGAGTCAATTACATGTTCATGAGCTAACTTGTAGGTGGGCCAACCGTACAAGAGAAATGCACGCCTGGGCCAATTTAAAGTGAGCCTTGTAGTGGGGTGACGTATAGGGAATGCAATCCAGGTTAACCTTGGAACACAAATTCAGCCCGTGCCGATCCTAATGTTGTTGGCAATGATAAGATGGTTTCAAGCACATTCGGTTGTGTCCTTTCTTAGGGGATCCCCCAAAATTCGGGTTTCCGTTCAAAAGCCTTACAAAGGGGTACCACCGACACACCCGTTTGTCAAGTTAGAGCGCTTGCCAATGGCCGCTCTGGCTCCAGGATTTGTGCTTGAGGCAGCCACATCACGCGGTGAGTTTCCGGCACTTTCTCATTCTCAGCTTTCAGACAGCCATGCGCGAGGCGATCTGCATCCACATCGGCCAGGAGCCTTGCAGAGTGGAGGGCAAGCCTTTGGCAATCATGTGTTTGTTTTTTCTCGCTGCTTTCTTTAACGTTAGCACGCGTGTGAGTATTTTCTGGTTCGGGTACATAATGAGACTTGCAATCCATGCCCCAGGCCGGCGTTCAAATTGGCAACGCCTGCTGGGAGCTGTTCTGCTTGGAGCATGGCATCCAACCTGATGGTCAGATGCCGTCCGACAAGACCATTGGCGGCGGCGATGACGTATCGCGCTTGATACGGCCAGTGCTTAGTTTGGCTTTTCCTGCCAAATGCCAACCACGCATTGGATCATGTGTCGATTTTGGTGTCAAGATGGTAAAGCAGCGCTTGGACGAGGGTGCAATCAACAAAGAGGCGATAGAACATGCAAGATACCTTCCCTCGCAAGATCCCAGGACGCCTTAAGACTTCCACAGAGGGCTTCTTGGAGTGATAGTGTGAGGGAGTGTAAGATCCCGAGGCAAACGCGGCACCCAGAAACCCTTTTGGCTGTCGATTTGGACGTTCCGAGATGCTGACGGACCAAATCTTGCACCTGGAAACCATGGTTGAAACCATAACTAGGTCCCCAGTAATTAGTGCCCTTTTGCCCTGTTTTGGGGGAGGGTTCCCCTACTAAAATAGACTACAGAAAGAAATTTGTACCCTTATTCCAACCTCTCTACTGGAGAACCTAGATACGGCTTCTTGGTAGTTAGAGGGGAATCATCCGAAACCAGGGTCCCTCAGTTGGCGCGACATGGATTTGGGGTCGGCCTCCCTGGGCCCTTTGCTGCGAGGGTCCAAGGTGGGCCGCAAAGGCGGGAGCAGGACGCCGGAGGGATCCCTCCGGAAGTTGGATAAAGTTTCAGAGGTGCATTTTGCTTGGATGTTAGGACTTTAACTTTTTGCCCGCCAATGGGATTTCCATTGAACCACGAAAAGTTAAACTTTTAGCAGGGGAGCAGATTACTGTCGGAGTTCAAAGCGGTTGGCTATGAACTTTGGTGGGACCCTCCCCAGAAAAGTGGTTGGTGGACTCAAATCCCCACCGAAATGATGTCCACCAAAGGGCCCGAAAATTGCAACTCACAGCCAACGGTTGTTTTGTACAAAGCTTTCTACAGAGCAAATTCGCTTCGTGCGAGAAATGGGGGGTAAACACCCCGGAACCCTCGCGTCGG